GTGTGTGTGTGTGTGTATAAGGCAAAATCTGACTTTTAAGGAAATGAAAGTAAGGAACCGACTCTAATTCTTTATATTAAATCTCTTGAAATCTTTTCGGGGGCTACCAAAAGTCATTTTTCACCAGTACATTTATATTTATCAATTTTTTTCTGTTACATTCTTTTACTTAAATCAGCACCACTCAGACTTTTGTAGTTTTGTGCATCACTCCTGTTGGTTATGAGAACTTGCACTGTCCATGGTCACAGCTGGATCCTGGAGTCCAGCAGGTGCAGGTCGGCTTAGAGTTCACAGCATGAGTCCGTATCCACATTTCTCCCACTTTTCTCCCACGTCCTTTGTTTTTGTAGTTTTATATTACATAACGAGGCTGTTTGAATGAGACAGTGAGTCTTTGTCTTTTCCTACACCATGGAGGAATTTATAATGTTTATACTTTTATCTCCTTTATTCATATTAACATTAAAGTCTGTCTGTAAATCAGCATCTTTAAGGGTTAAAACTGTATTTTAATAATTAAAATAAATTTACCTTGAAACCTTGAAGTTTTCCCCTATTTTATAGACTGAACAATGAATAAATGATGGAACTAAAATGTAGTGTTATTGTAAGTAGTGGAACATACAAGTTAAGTACTGAAAAAACTTAAAGGACCAGTTTGTGTGATTTAGTGGCTGATTTAAGACAGTAACCTTTCTCTCATTAATAGAATTGCTTGACTATCGACAGGAGCTCTTTTAACCACGTCATCTCATCGTGTCCTCTTCTTCTGCGGCGGTTTAATGGCAGCGACTGGAGGATTATCTCCATCAACCAATCAGCTCATATTCACAAAGCGATGGAAACATTCAGTCAGGTTTTTCTATTTTGTGGTACAAGATATGTGATTAACATTAAGACAGGAAGACATATGAGACATGACCATAGCAACTGGGGTAACAACAACAAAAACAAACAAAGAAATATCCTAAAATTGCCATTATTCCCTTAAAAAAATAGAAACTTGATCGTATAGTTTCCACACTGCCTAAGAATTCTGATATTTGTGTGTGTGTGTGTGTGTGTGTGTGCAGGAGGCGGCCTGTGCTTACGTCATAGCCCTCATGGCGGTGTACTGGTGCACTGAGGTTTTGCCGCTGGCGGTGACGGCGCTGCTGCCGACCATCCTGTTCCCCGTCCTCGGCATCATGGAGTCCAAAGACGTAAGACTGGACGCACACACACTCGCTGTACTACAACTACTGCAGTATGAGGCAGTAGACACTGTAAACATGCTAGACAGCATCAACAAGTATTAGATTAGGTACATAAGTTCACACTGCTCAACTTGTTCTTAAACATTAAAAAGAAAACATAAGTGTTGACATTATGTGTCTAACCTCTGCAGATTGTTTCTGTTGTTGTTCAGGTGTGTATGGAGTACCTGAAGGACACCAACATGCTGTTTGTGGGTGGTCTAATGGTGGCCGTGGCCGTGGAGCACTGGAACCTCCACAAACGCATCGCGCTCAGAGTGCTGCTGTTGGTTGGGGTCCGACCCGCCATGTGAGTTTCAGTGTTATCAACATGAACTTTTAAAGTGAATTTATTGTCGATCTATATTAAATATTTATAATGTGGGAATCAATTTTCTTGGCTCTAGTGAATAGCATATATTTTGTTTTATCAGCATTTAACATAAGTTTGAGATCAGGTTGTAGGTTGTCAATAGCCAATTGTTTGGAGCAAGCCCAACAGTATATAAAAGTATCATCTGCATACAAATGGACATTACAGGTATTCAAAGCCACAATAATATGGCCAGACCTAAAATCAAATCTGTGAAATGTGAAAAATTACAGAATAGACTAAATGTAACAAAACTGAAACACATCATGAGGCTCCTCATGCACCCAGAAAACTACACTGTTGAGTGGATGACCACGATCAAGGAGCTCTGGTTCTGTGTTGATTCTGGCAGCCCCCTGTGGACAAAAGTGATTTCACCTAATTTCATTGATTCAAGGGGACGCCAACCCAGTGGCATTCAGATACTATATAGAAATAGTCAATCTTCTGTTTATGTTTGTTTAGGTTTAGAGGCAGCAGCATTAAATGAACTGTTAGAACTAGTGATCGACCGATTTAATCGGCCGATTTTTGGCGTTTTTACGTGTATCGGCACCGGCCGATGCGGCTGCTGCGTCCATCCGCATTATTTACAGACAAATGTCCGCAAGGCCGCTCCGCTGTCTGCTGAGACCTGCAGTGCCACATAGCCCTCCCCACTAGATAGATGGCTGGAAGCTGCCTCCTTTCAACACAACGCTAAGTTTTACTCAAAGCTCTTTAACTGTTAACTTAGCTGAAATTGCCATAAACACTATGAAAGTG